CCCCAAAACCCCAAAACCCCAAAACCCCATGTAATGACATAAGTTTTAATAAAGTACTAATGAAATCAAAATAGATTAAACTATTTCATTTTGTTTTAAGGAGTGAAGTTATGGTTTAGCCTTTAAATTTCTATTGCATTATTAGTCTAGGCATTAAAATGATTCTGCAATTTGTTTTAAGTATTATCCTAAGAGATCATTAGAATTTACCCATCTTTCAATTGTCTAAACTTTCTCTGAATTCTCTCCACTCTCTAACTTCCTTTTAAGTGGAATTCTATTAAGCTAGCTGTTTCTTAATTGCTATACCTCCTATTGAAAAACTGTTAAGCCTGCAATTATTTTTCATAGTCATTATTTATTGTCAAATAATCTCTTAGTTTCTTATTAGGAGAAATCATTTTAATTTTTTTATCGATTTTTTTAATAACCTTATTTTATATTGGAACGGAATCTTAGTTGGAATCTTAATTTTCTCTAACACCATTGCCATCTCTATCTCTTTACTTAACAAAACCTCTTATTAGATTATTTTCTATAAGATTTTCTGAAGCTTCTATTATTTTTTCACTAGTGGTTAATAGATCCCTCCTCATCTACTAAGTGCTCATGAAAACAAATTATTCTCCATTATCTCTAGCAAACATATATTTGGGGTTGCTAGGATTAGTTACCCTCTTAATTCTCAGCAGTCTTTTCTATGCAGTAGTCTTGTTTACATCTGATGGGTTCTCCCAGTTTCTTCTCTTAAGTTCCTCTTGCTGCTCAATACTTAGATCTTTTACCATCTTTAGCTGTTTGTTTGTCTAAACGCCTTATTATTCAATACTTTTAATTTGGTTCAATGGTGAGAGACCCCTATTGAAATTTTATTAATTTAAATAATCTCTTTTTGTTACTTCTTCTGAAAAAGATCTAGGTTGCATGATATTATTACTCTGAATGCGATGGAATTCCTAATTTACGTACGAACCTCAATTTTGTCGATTTTATAGAATCGGATTGAAAAGTTGTAAATGCTTTGGGTCAATTCTAGGCAAGTATTAGATTGAATTCCTTGTGATATAGTTAATATGATTTGGACCCAAAGGAGGTTTGAGTTATCATTTATTCATCATCTGTCTCGAAATACTTTCTCCGTTCATAAGATGCTAATGATTTATTTTTGCATTTACTTCGGTTAATTCTCTTTTTTAATTTTGAGACTAATCAGCATCTTTTTAATGAATTATTGATGTGTATGTTTTCTTTTAATATGTTGGCACTCTCTCCTCATATCTTGGAAATTTAGTTTGTAAATCAATAATATTTTAAGGACTTTAAAGTTGTTGCTAGGTGTTAATGCTAGTAATCATAGTTTATTTTATTTTTATGTTTACAGATTTTTCACAGTTATATTAGTTTTTATTTAAATTAATTCCTTTTGCTAATATAATTTGCAGTGGGGTTTTGGGGTTTTGGGGTTTTGGGG